TGGCGGTTGGTTTGAATACATTGCGCCGGAACTAATGCAGTTTGGGGAGCGTGACTCTGTCCATATCTCTTGTTGCTTTATGTCTGTGAAGCATATGGTGATAACCTACCCGGCGTGTATGTAATGAGTCACGTACAAAGCAGGTGTTCCTCGTTACATATTTATTACTTTGATATAAAAATTGTATTAACAATGTGTTCAATACAATACATAATACTTCGGGTGTACATTTTAAACTAGGTTGGAAATTTCTTCACGCGTTCCTCCGGCCATTGTTTCCAAGGAAACCCCCGATTGTTTACGTTATTTTATGTGCGAATGGTGCGTCACATAAGTTTCCTCGGCTCGGATGACGTCACCATCACTTGCCTCCGTTGTGCGCACACTATGGCGAGGAATTTTATTCGCTGACGTAATCACGGAGCGGACATCGATCGCCATGTTGTGTTTATTTATGTACTCCTTATTGTGAACCAAAATAACTTAAAAGGCGCCATATGCTAATTCAATAATAGGCTGTTTACAATATACGAGTACGAGTATAACCCGCTGTTAGGCATAGTCCAGCAAGCGACACACGGTGGATTGGCAACCTTCACATATATTTATTTATTTTTTGGTTATGAAGGCATTTACGTTGTAAATCAGGGCACCGATATATGAACTCGGTTCAGTGAATTAAAAGCTAGCGCCCAGAGGCTATCACGATGTACTACCAAGGGAAATGTAATTTTATCGTAAAATAAGCGATGATTTTCTTACACCTTAGCGTTATTCATCCACAATCTAATTCATCGATAACATAATCTAATCTTGAAAATCTTATCTTTAGACAATATGGTTACAATGACTTTTCAAATCCTTTTTACAACTCATTAAGTAGACTTAAACACTTGCTCGAAACATTACAAAGAAAAAATGTCAACACAAACAAGTAAATATTGTTCTTTATAAGTCCAACTCGTCAATTTTTGAACATGTGAGTTATCATTACTTTTATTGACGTTACGTAGACTGATTAAAGTATAAATTTATTTAACGTAAATAGATATTTAAATATATGATATAATTAATATATCACGTGTGTTACAGGCATGTATATATGTTTGTATGTAAATCGAAAGGTATTTAAAACAAATTAACCTAACATTATAAATTCAAGCCAAAACTATAAAATTCTTCGTTTCCGCGCCAATCTGCGTTCGAATTTCAAGTCTGGTGAAGGTAAGCCGAACTCTCCCTTGCGTGATAAACTGCGCAACATGAAGGAAGTCACACTTTTGGAATATTAATAATTCGTATTCGAGCGAATCGCTCACACCGCTGGCCCCTATGCGTCAACCGAACAATGGCACCCCTTTCGGGAGATAGCGGTGTGACGCGTTAATGCAGGGATGCAATTCACGGCTGAGTCACCCGCTCCCTGACTCATTCACCGCGACCGACGGCTGCGACCACAGCCAGTGTCGTTGGAACATCGATGTTGTCATTGTAGTTTAGCGTCAGTTATGACTCGTACCTTTTTAGGAAGAGAGAGAAGAAGATATGCGTGAGGCGCCACAGCCTCTATCGCACGAATGGGCTGGCTCGTCCGTAGAGGTACCGTAGTGGGTCTGGCTAGAAACGCTGGCGGTGTCCACCGATTTCGAAGGTTTATTGCATCTGAAGCCACGGATATTGCGATGTCTACGGCATGATCTCTTGAAACCACGCGAACTATTTCGTAATTCTCGCCTATTAAATATGTTATTGTTATTCTTAAAGCCGACAAACAGTGTCTACAACGATCCTGAGGTTGCAGTTTCGACGCACATCATTAAGACGACAGACCGGTTACAGACGAGATCGTGATACTACACGTGCTGTGTAGCTCTACCCTACTAATAAATATTGCTCTTGGGGACTTATATTGACCGAGTTAAACAAGTTATCAAGCGAAAGTAAAAAGAAGTCTTAAATAATTAATAATAAAACTCCTCTCGTCACAAACGAATTGAATGCTAAATAAGCACTAACTTGCACCAATCAATATGTGACAGTATGCAAAAACTTTCTTGAAATTCAATTACTAATTCTTCTCAACATTCATTCAATAGTGAAAAATCATCGTCAAAAGAACTAGATGTTTTATTCCCGTTTAGACTATGCGTAAAGGAACAACCATTGATTGCTTGGCGCGTTCTCCAAGAATTTAATAGTTTAAATATATTATGGCTTTCTCTTTCTCTTATAGCACTCGAAAAGCGTACAAGTAATTAAATATTATTTTACATTTCTTTCGTTATCGTGATTCCCGACCCCGAGACCTATTTTCACGTGAACTCGCATTAGTCAAAAGTTTTTTACGCGGGGAATCCCATGTGAATAACCGCCAGCCCTAAAGAAAAGCCGTGGTAATTAAGACTGATTGTGACGATATGTAAATTTTCGGATCAGGAAAAATTCCTCCTTTTGTTACATTAATAGCGTAGCACACTACTCATTTTTTCTTTATGAACACAATTTAAGCGTCTCTACAAAGCAATAATAGACATTTACTGACCTGAAACGTTTAGAACTAATGATTTTGCTCCATAGAATGAGTTGGAATGGTCAAGCGCCTAGTTCTAGATTTAGATTTGAGTCTATTCAAAGGTTTATTTTAATAAAGGCACCTTGGCAAGGGTACTGAAGAAATAGATTAATAAAACGATGGTCAAAGGTACTAAAGATACGAACGAAAATAACACTGAATTCTTTCACTACGACTTAGCCAACGTCGTTGAAATTAAGTAAGCGCGTTGAGTCACGGAGCTTAAAAGGACACGTTGTATGGCATGGACGAGTGACCGAGTTCGTTGTACAGACATTATCGTGCGAGTTGAATGACTCAATGACTCACTACAACAGGGATGCTCTTGAGAAGGTGAACGTCATAATTGTGTTTACTTAGACGTAGTATACCATAAGAGTAAAAAAGTATGTGTGTACTTACACACGTAAGAAGCCATACTTCTTTAGCGTAACAAAAGAAAAACTACTAAAATTTAATTTTATCCCCTATGCCAGTCAGTACTCTTTGTCCGTGAAAAGTACATTAAATGCAATTGATAACGGTTATAGCTTTGAATTACAGATAAAAGTGAAAAACTTGATATTTTTTGCGGCAGTATTACCATGGCGACAAAGTATGTGAAGTTCATCACTTCACCATGTCGCTTTTTGGGGGTCGGTGTGCGCGCGCATCGTAAAAATTTTACTCTCACATTTTATCCCAAACGCACTTAAAGAAGTATAACTTCAAAAATCACGACCGTTTGCTTGAACGGATCGATCAGAGGTTAAGAGATCGTTATATGACAAGCAAGCTGTTTAACTGATTAGATCTAATGGTAAGTTGGTTGTTTGTTTGACGTCGGCGCCGGGGTTTGTGAGTTAGATCCCCACCCGTTATTTTATGACCTATAGATAATTTGGATTTGAGTGTTTATATTTGCTTAATTTGTGTTTGTAAAACGTCTCTAAACAATATTTCTACTATTAAGCTATCACAAAATATTAAATACACCACAGAGTGTAACTACTCTAGAAGCCAATCCCTTTGGCTGTGTTTTTCTAAATTTCAGAGTCACAACCGACTGGTCTTTGCCAGGTGAGATTCCATTAATGTGGCATAAAGGCTCGAGACTCGCGACAAAAAGGGGCTTTCAACCAAACTCCTTTGATTCAGGGTAGAACGAAAAACTTTTTCGGCTTACAGTCTACTTATAACCTATATAAAGGACATTAATTAAACCATCTCTTTTTTTCTCCGGGACCAAGTTACACTCGATAATTGTGTAAACTGTTTCGAACTTATTCTGCAATCTATATAAGTAACACATTATACATACATAATTAAGAGTCGTGTCTTATTTCAAGGTTAAAACAAAAGTAAGTTGAGAATTACAATAAATCATAAAAAGAAAATGTCCTTAGTATCATAAAACAAATTTTTCAATTTTGTATAAAACGTCGATAATTCTTTAACAACACAAAAAGAGCTCAGTGGATAAAATATGCGCGGTTTTATAAAAGTAAAGATGAGTCATTGCTTACTAATCGTTTTCACTGCTCATTTACGTCAGTCGGTTTAATTTGCGCACCGCCACAAGGTCGATGTTTATACGAAAGCTTATCAATTATTTTCTTCATAATTGCAATTCACGCTTGATACTAAACTGGACGAATATATATAAAGTGTGTCCCCATTTCAAAATTACTTTAATCCTTTACGCTCTACACTTTATTAATTTGTCCTTTCTTTATCATTATATCTTCGAGCTATGAAGACACCGACCTTTGTTAGTCGTGTTTTAATATTCTGGGGGTCAGACTCTACAGTAAACGAAGATAACACCAATAAAACTAATACCATTTATCGTAGTTTTGCTACAAATTTTAGTAACACCAATAGTTTAAAAGAAAGAGACTAATGCTTTCTCGATTGACTTACAGTAAACTATTTCTTTATAAAATTATTAATTTAACGTAACGTTTGACGATCCGGAAACAACGCCTGGTAAAAATACTAAATAGAAATTGTACGTGAATGTAAAACTCTCTCTCTGTCACTGTTCTCTACCATGGTAGAGTTTTGTAGCAGCTTCTGCTGCATGGAAATTTATACATTTATTCAGTTTGCATAACGTTAAATGATACAGAAGCAACGCCTAGTAAAAGTACTGAACAGTAATAATATTCAATGCAAAACTCTATCACTGTTCTCTACTTAGGTAGAGTCAATAGCAAATTCATAGAAAATGCCACAGACTCACAGAAATTCCGTTACGGGTATTTGGTGAGTTAGCTAAAAGGATACCCAATATCTATATGGTTGGCAAACATCTGTAATTACGTCTTAGTGACGCGGATGTCCATTGTCCATTAGCCATTACACTAACCACTGAGGATTGTCTGGCTCGTGCGCCACTAATCATAAAAAATGCTACCCCGACTGTATTGTACTCGATTGTACTCACTTTAGGCGCGGATATTTCGTGGAAAGAGCTCGGGCGCGGTGCAGGCCCAGCGGATACGCAGTCCACAGGAACACTGTAGTCAGCACATAGAGCGGCCTGGAACAGAGAGAACGTTGTGAACGAAATTGTTTTTATCGCGTATTACGGAACGAGGACTTTCAGTAATAACAAGTTTATAAGAATATGGAAGTACCAATATATTTTAATTTAATTTCATTTATATCACACATGTAAAATTAAAAATTTAACGAAACAATTTAATTTCTTCGAACCAAAATATAGCAAAGAACAAACGTATTAAGTTTTCTGCTTAGACTGTGAAAACAGTAAGAAAATATTATTTATACCGTTAAACATTAAACAACATTACACAAATGTACAATATAAAATATTTGGGTTAGATTATTCGTGAATCATATTTTCAAATTACAAGTATGTACTCAAGTGTACAACAGAAAATATAACCTAAAAACTCACTTCATTAAGAGCACTTAATCTATAACTTATATTATCCTTCAATTTTTTTTTGTAATTATAGACGACACCATAGAACCATGGTAGATCAGTGGTCGGGTGCTCGTTTTTAATTCATTATACTTGAACAACCCGACTTCAGATACAGATTTGTAAAGTTCAATTTTGAATGCCGATTAACCACTAGCAAGAAGCAAATCATCATTAGGAAAAGTTTCGTAACGATGGTTTGCTATTGATATGATATTTATTAAATATGCAGGTGATATTTGAAGTCTGCCCTTTCGCAGCAGCATCGCGTGGGGAATTATACCCTAGCACCCACTGTCCATAGCAAGCATTTGCCCAGCAGAGTGTAAGATACCATAGGAAATAGTACTATCTATATCTGTCTTTTAGGTAAGGTATCATCATCATTATCAGCCGGAAGGTACCCTGCCATTTGATTCCGTAGTCCGCGACTCTTACCAACACCTAGTGGAAAGTCTAAGAAATTATACACATACACATGTTAAGTCAGTATAAGTAACCGCCTTAGAAAAGTCATTGTTTAAAGTGACATCTATCAATCAAACGAAGTAGTGTAAGATTAGATAATAAAAACACCGATATCAGCAACTAATACGTCAGCCAGATTAGATTAAAATCACTCAATAACAAATTTTCTTTGCCGCGATAATCATGGCTATTTCTTTTTTATAGTCTGTAATATATAAATAATAAACAATGGTACCCATTTCATAGAACATAATAGTTAATATTGCATACAACCGTTTTCAAAATTATTTTATACCTTTTAGCGATAGCTCAGTGTCCGGGCGCTCGCCCTTACTTCGCTCGCCTTTACTTCAACTTACTCGAGCAACCTGAGTTCGATCCCCTGTGCCGGCATCAATGAAATTGTTAATTTTTAGTGCTGACTTATCACGTGCTCAGCAATGAAGGAAAGCATCTTGAGGAAAGCTGCATATTTTCGAAATAATAAAAAAAAATAAAAGATAATCAAAGCCAATACGCAATGGGGTCGCGTGGTGGACTATACCCTGATACCCTCTGTACCTTTGCCTAGCAGAACGACATTTATAGGCTATTACTTTCCTTTCTTTTTTTCCTATTAGTTGGAATTAATAATACGCAAAGTTAGTTGGAAAGCTACTCGGATTCCCCTAATATTTAATAATATAGCAATAATTCTATTATAGGCACGAGTAGTTGTTGAAGACAATACGGTTGTTAACATCACTAAGTTGTAATAAGGAAAAATGTAGGATAATAATAATAATATAACACGTCCGAAATAAATATTTTATATTAGAATAATTTACAACCCGTTCATCACACTTAACTGATTACTTCAGGCACAATGTTTAATTTTCTTTATCAAAACTTAAATATAGCAACACATTCATAATGTTTTAACGCATACATTTCGAGAAAACTGTAAATTTCCACCTGAAAATTCGCATCCTTTCAGAAAGGTATAAGAAGCCGACAGAGTGGTCTTTTCATATACAGAATTCTTTTCAAATGGCAATAGCAAAAAGAGACGTGCAACGAATTTATTCTGCTGACATTATATTAAACAGTATAGGAAAATTTGAGACTTGGAACATACGCTACGTACATGTATTGTATACGCTAGATACATGGACTCCTTTGTCGGTGGACGTGGCATGTTGTAAATTTGGCTGCTGCACAAAGTTTTCATTAGGCCCAACATACGGGGCATAAGGTCGGCAAACACAAAGACCATACTATGCACGGGACGCATAGTTGTGTTATTAAGTTATGCAGACAGGCTGCAAATAATCCCGTTCGGGATATTCACGTCTGACAATCTTAGGTATTCAAGCATGTTGTTTAGTTACTACCTTCCCCCTGGTGCTTCGTATCGGTTAAGAGTCACTTTCAAAATATTAAGAGAATTTTCAGAATATAAGAAAAGTCATAAGGAAACGAATGAATGGCCATCAAATGTGCCAAATATATTTGCCTTTAAGGCAGATTATACGACCCAATTGGCGTAGTTTGATAGTGAACCTGTTTCTTGCGCCAGAGGTGTGGGTCGACCCCCACTACTGGAACAATATTGGGTGATGAACATAGTTTTTCTAGTGTCTAGGTGTTTATTTGTCTATAATACGTATATATCTTACAAAAGAAAAATACGTTTAAGTATGATTATCAGTTACCATAGGACAAGCCTCGCTTGTTTGTTTATTCAATATATATTTATTTATTTATATATGTTTGTTGTATTGCGGACTGACATATATTTTAGTAACGTTTTATAATACTTCTAAGTTATGCGGGTGTCCTTCCGCTGCCTACCTTCATCAGAACTCGTTGTAAGTCAGGGCTTAAAACAATATCTCACTGAGTCGCGTCGAGAAATCTGTTTTGTAGCCAACTACTAAAAAAATAAATGTAAATCGAACCAAGGATCCGTCATTTAAGTTTGCGTAATGGATATAAAGTACTTAACTATATCTCGCCCACTCTCGTTGAAATGTCGCAAGCCACAGGTCAGTAGAGCGCATAGATAGGACGATCGGTGGCAAAGGGGAAATAACAGTTTCCGCAACTGTACAATAACAACTACGGATTCAGTTTGTGTTTTGAATAACATAATAAAAATATTTTAAGGAATAGAATATTAAATTTAATTAATTTTTGAATTAGTTATGTAAAGCAATCAATGTTATTTGAAGGTGTACAGCTGTATAACACATTACCAAATGATATTGAAGACTGTAATAACATAAATGTATAAATGTATATAAAACAAACTTAAGCAACATTTAACTTAATCCCAAGTGCCGACTAAGTATCACATTTTAAGTGAATACTACATTCTTATGAGAGTAAAGTTCAGTAAACCTTAATCTTAACTAATTAAAGTCATTCGGTCCGAGCCAGAATACAAATTCGTTTTATATAATTTAACTTGGATGCTGAAATGATGATGATGATGATGAACTTGATGATGCATTGTGAAAAATTAAGAAAGTGAAATTTCATAAGCTCCTCTTAACATTTATTCATCATCACTTCAGCCTAATAGAGTCCACTGCTGAACATGGCCACAGACTACCACGCAGCACAATCCAGAACCACCTATATCGACTTCCCGCACATTGCACAGGTCGTCACTCGATCTAGTAGGGGGTTGTTTTCTTTTTCTTTTTTGCTTAAAACATTGCCCTCACTTTAGGATCACATTATCCTGTGTTGTAAGGACGTTTTACAAATATAGATTACACGAGGACAAACACCCAGATGCGAAACAACTATCTGTGGGTCGCACAAATAGTTGTCCCGTGTGGGAATCGAACCCACGACTCACGACGCTGAAGCCAATACCTTGGCAACTGAGCCACGGAGTCATTTTACGGAATCATTTATATTTTTATACATATATAGTACAGATATTTGAAAATATGAACACTTCTTGATTACAGTCATAATTTAAATGTCTAATGAAGGTTATTCATCACTTTCTGTCTTAATGTATTTCATTGAATCATTTATATATAAATGATTTTCATTTATTAGCTCATCGAGTTAAACTTATAAATAATAACAAACAATGATTTAGTATGGGCGTTCTTCTATCGTTTTCGTAAGTTTTATTTTATTTTTCAGACGGACTTTCTTCTTGTCCACCTAATCTTTTTATTTACATAACACGTATTTTTTTAGTGTTTGCCTGTGTTTTAATTTTTTAAGCCATTGAATAAACAAATTTTGTAAATTTAAATTTGCTAACCACAAATTACACTACATATTACGGAAGGTCGGTTGTCTGGTGGCGTGTGCTCTGCATACATATAACGCATCATTGTTCCTACCTTACTGCGCATATTAACATGAGATTGATTGACGCGCTAGCAGAGAATTCAATCAGTGTTACTTATAGATTTATATTCAGACGCAGAACGTACTCAATAGCGGAACCTACTAAGTACGTTCGACTGTTGTTATTCCGGGTATGTACTTCCGAATAGCAATTCGCAATTGACATTGTTGAAATTATATCCGTCGATAGCGGCAAAGGTTTTATGGGCCATGTAGATACTATATTTTCCTGTGAATTCAATTACAGCAATAATCAATTTATGAGACATATGTGTTATACTTTCTTGCAATAGTCACCTTACATGACAGGGTTATTTAGGGTTCTTACCCACTAAAACCCCCGGTGGCCACCTTCTGAACGTTTGGAGGGACCCCGGGATCTCCTATGGAACGCACCGATGTCCCTCAGTACTGGGCGTAAGCACGCCTCGGAGAAGGGTAAACCTTCCCCAATTCCTTCGCCATCTTGCAGCAGCTCGAAGTGACTTCGAGCTGCTGCCAATCCGTGTCCCCTTTTAGTCGCCTTATACGACAGGCAGGAGATACTTTAGTCCTATTCTATGAGCCCGGAACTACAGGGCTGTACTAAATGCAACTATTTAACTATGAGGCCGTGGCACTTCTCCGGATGAACCTTCCCATTAGTGCAGTGGCAAATTAAAAGAACCACAAATAAGCTCTCGCGTATTTTGACCCAAACAACGAACCTGGAGTCAACAGCTGTCTATTAAGTATAGAGCGCTTAACAAAAATATTCTTAATTTAAATTTATTTTAAATTATAATATGCTACTTTTTAGTTCGGATATGTCCCTTTTGTACATATCCGAACTAAAAAGTAGCAAAGTAGTTTCAACATAGACAAAATAAATACAACATTGATACATAGCATGCTAATAAAAGCGTATATATATAAGCTTGCTGATAGAAATGATTTATATAACAGTATTCGTGAGCCTACCCTTTCGCTAATATTGTCACTGAAAATAGTAATGGAAGGTAGAAAAATGTTAGCTTTGACATCTGGAAAACGACACTGTTTGTTCCGCAAGATATCGAATAAATAAGTTTTGTTTTCTATAGTTCCGAACCTCAAAAGGAAAAAAAGAACCGTTATAGAATCATTTGAAAATTATGATTAAATATCAAAAGAATATTGTTTCTTTTTTTTGACATTATAAACTTACTGGCTTTTGGTAAACTGACCAACGAGTTTACAACTTTATGACAATAGTTTTCCAACGGCAAAGCTATATTTGTCCCTTAATACAGTTTATCTTTTCATTAGAACCATTTTCGATGCTAACAAAATTTATGAACCTCAATGACGTATCTAATTATTTCCATGAATTTAAATATACTTACATTTTTAATAAGTACAATTAGGTATAAATAAACGAATATCACCTGTGTTAATTAGTCTGCGACATTTGTCATCCATTAAAAATATAATTAATTAATGTAAGTTACTGTTAGTAAGCAATATATCGCTATAGAATTAAGGGTGGTAACGTAACTATGTTACTTTTTATTTTTACTTTAACTTATGTTTTCGTTTTCGGTCCGTAGACTATTAGCCTCTTGTTGTTGTTGGTGATTGTATAGTATAATTATGTATATACAAGTTTGTACGAAACGATCTGTTTACAATGCCAACTCGCACTTGGCACTTGTAAATATCACTTTTTTTATGGAGAAAAGGGGGCAAACGAGCAGAAGGCTCACCTGATGGTAAGTGATTACCGCCCCCCATGAGCACCTGCAACACCCGAGGGCTCACAAATGCGTTGCCGGCCTTTTAAGAAAGAGTATGCTCTCTTCTTGAAGGTTCCCAGGTTGTAACGGTTCGGAAAGACCGCCGGCGGCAGTTGGTTCCACAGAGTGGCATGAAATGACTTGAAAATCGCGCTGTTGTGGAACGTGGTGTGAATGAAATTTTAAAACTTACAATAACGTTTCACTATACATTTTAACCATCACTTACTGTCTCAATATCAGGTTCACGATAAGCTAACGATTTTACAAATGTACAAGCAAAACCCGCGGTATATCATCATCATCAGCCGCAAGACGTCCACTGTTGGACATAGAACGTGGTATATAATATAGTATTTTCTTTTTAGTTGTGCTACGTGTTATCGGTTAAATAGAATAGAAAATCTATCAATATTCACTCTAATCGTGGCCTCAGACACTAGGCTGGCTCATTCAATTACCTGCTCCTCTCGTAGGGGCCGCAGTGTGTTTTGCAATCATGATTTAATAATGGCCTAAATGGATTTCAACGTTAAAGTGCCAAAACCGCACAGGGCGTAGCGTTTAATTACAAATAGTGCTGAAATACGAAACCCTTTCGATGTTCACCGGAAACTGCGATATTTAGGCAACAAACTAATATTATTCAATTGATCAAATAGTCATATTAGACATCGATTAGCATTTAAACCAAACTAAAGCACTATTCGCAAACAGTTAAATGATATATGGTGATGGTACGTACATGCTTCGAGGATTGATTAAACTTTGTTTGTACTAATCTATATAAAAATTGGTTTAAGCTTTGCTTTGCTTGTGTTTTGAAGTATGTTACATCGGCGTTTACAGCATTTCATTAAATTTACAAAAAAAAATAGACTCCGATCTAGAAAAATCGAAAGTCGAAAACGATATCGTGCAGAACTCCAACTTAAGAGCGCGCGGCGAAGACTAGCTACTGCACCAACCGTTCCAGCAAAATACAAACATGAATAAAGTCAGTAATTAGTCCCCTTAACAATGGTCAAGCGGGTTGTTTAGAACTCCGACGAAGCGGACCCCATGCAATCCGCATTGAAACGCCCCCGACCCCGCGCTAACCTCAGGCACGCGGAATCCTACAGGAGCTGCCCACTGTTCAACCCCGCCTCCTTTGTTCCAACTCCTGATGAGCAGACACGTGCGGCGAGTACGGGGAGCCTTTTAAGGCAGAGGCTGATTGCAATTTTGATCGATAAATCGTCCAGCGGCAAATGTGAACCCTGAAAGAATTAACACTTACGCTAATTAATGTTGGGATTTCGGTTCGTGAGTTACAAGTAATTTACATTAAATGAATGCTACGAAATGTAATTTTATCTAGTTATACTTTAAGCCAAAACTTTGGATCCCTGTCTGAATATATAACGCACGCGGAGGAATGTGAGATTTATATGTGGCATAGCTAACATGGAAAAGAAAGCTAAAATTTATTTAAAAATTTTGTATAAGATATAAAAAAATTAAAATTTTATTATTTAAGTTGATACTGTCAGTGTCAAACACGTATTAATATCTTAGAACAGTTGCACAGAGAAAAGATCATCAAAGAAATTTAAAATATCGTTTTGATTAAATAAGTCTGAGAAAAATAAAGATACCTTTAAAATTTAATGATTTACGGTCGAATTTCAACCAATTGGCGACTTCTAGTAATTTATAAACGTGCTGAAATCCATACTAACGTTATGCGAACGTAACTCTGTCTGTCTGTCTCGCTTTCACGACAAAACTACTTAGCCGATTTAAATGAAATTTGGTACACAGATAGTCTGAAAAAGGACATAGGCTATTTTTTAAAAGAAATTCTTGTTTAAAGAAAGATATTTAATTAAGGATTTCAACGCGAGCGAAGCCGCGGGCGAAAAGCTAATCTCAAATAAGTTTGAATTAATGAACAAGACTTTAAAATGCAAATAAAATTCCTTCTCTTGAAAGTCACAATCAAAATGTCGAAGTTCCAATATTGCGGAATGCGAACGTTTATAGTCACAGAAATATTTGCGTTTCAGGTGAAAGTCGGAAAGTTTATTGGAATTTTCATTTTATTAAAAAATTTCTATGAATTCGCTAAAAAGATTTAGTAAAATTTGAACTTTATATCGAACAGTCATTATTAATGTTCTTTGAAGTTAAGTTACTCTGAATTGAAGTTTAATTTTTCTGTATTGGACCTTTATACATATAGACAAATTAATTATTTCGATATTAGCGTAATCAATATCACATTTTTAATTGTTTGTTACTAGGATAGAAATATTTTTGTGATATTTCTTAATTGCGCTAACTGCATAATATTATTGCACGATCAACCGAGATTTCACAAAGTAAGTTATTAAGTTCAAGCTTCAAATTAAGAATAAAAAAAAAATCATTCAAAACATTTGTTTCACGTCATTTTGTTTATCGCAATTAAAATAATAATAATTGTCAACGGCTTTAAGAATATTGTTTAAAAATAAACGAGCTCTACAATAATAAACTTAATAATCTTTTGTGATTTGTACATAAAATCGAACAATGGATGAACGAAATACCAAAGTTGTTCTAAATTAAAAGCGCCGAACATCAGATAGACATGGAGAGGGCATTGTTTACAATCCGAGTTGGTATCACAATGTGCCAAGTCTGAAGAGGCTTGGGTTACTGCAGCGTGCCGAATTGCTGAAAGCATCGTCTTCGTTCACAAAAGAGGCGAATGTTTGAGCGCACTCTAAGCTCTCCGTCACCACGGCCACGAGTGACTGTCACATCCATCTTGCACTTCTTTTGGCATTGATGAAGTAACGGACAATGCCGTATTACGGCTGTGATTTGTAAAATAAGGTACAGTAGTAAAGTAAGGTATTTGTTATTTGTGGCGCGTTTTAAACAGACAGAAGCTCGAAAACTTTTTTTTAATGCAGGCTTTTTCAAGCTTTTGTAAAGGTAGTCTCTCATCAGTGCATCTTTTGACATCTGCAAACCATCGGTTGTTGTAGACCTCCATGGGTTGCAGCATTCACTTAACATTAGATGAGCATGCTCGCTTGACAACTTTTCACATAAAAAAAACATCTATCTAACTAGGAACAACTGGGAAAGAACTCAATAAGGTACAATCTATAGTAACAATTAAACTTTTTTTTGAGAGTTTTGTCCATAAATGTTAGCAACAAGTAGAACATGTCATAATTGTTAGTATTTGTTATTATTCTATTTTAGTTGCTATAAGTTAGAGTATTAATTGTTAAAAATTGTTAGCGTCCAGGGCAATGTCATTCCCATATATCTTGTTACTCGCTCACTTACTCGCTTTAGTTAAGGTGTCCCTTCCTTAGGTCACGTTTTAATGTTAACATGATTGCACTATAAAACGAATTTAGCTTAGCTCTAGATAATTATAAAACTGTTATCCTATCAAAACCTAACAATAAAAACCAAAACATAATGAAATATAAATTTATAAATTTATCAGTTACTCAGTACCCATATAACAAGATTTGGGACTATATTTGTAAAAATATTTCCTGAAATATTAATTTATTATTAAATTCAACCAACAGGCTTGTGTTGACTATCGAACTTATTTTCAGCAGCAACAGTCCTACAATAGCTGTACATAGTGTATATAATCGTTGGACGTTCGATTTAGTGACCCGAATGGACGGGGTGAAAAATTTCAATTAACGGCCGCTTGTTCAGCACGGCAAACAGAAGATTAGCACGGGCCCAGCGGCGCGTGAATCACTGGAGCCAGCAGCAATTTTTGCCGAAGTAATCCAGATGGCGCTGTTAAACGGTGGCGATTCAGCGCTTTCGGGAAAACATAGGTGGCGGCGAAAGGCCATTAGTTGCAGAATTGTTTTCCCCGAATGCGACACACAGCAAAACTCAGGTGTGTTTTTCCTTCAATTACTTTCGAGTATGGAGTACATGTATAAATTAATTAAAGAATAAATTAAACTTTTTAGAAGTTATACTTCTTTTGCGCGTTTGGAAAAACTTATTAAAATAAAACTTTTACGATGCCCGTGCACATCGACCCTCAAAAAGCGACATGATGAAGTTGGTTGCAAAGCAACGGCGTTACCATGGCAACCACTGACAACTGACATTTACTTATAATTCCAAGGTCATTTAAATAAACCGTTATCAAATTCACTCTAAGTACTTTTAACAAACAAAGAGTACTTGCGCGGGGGATTTTTTTTTAAGAAGCATACTTTTTTTTATTTTTAAATAATAGAGACGGTGTTACTGGAATTATTCGGCCGTTGACTGTTTCATCTCACGACTATAACAATATATTTTTATTTAGGAAAAAGTTTGCACTTCTGAGGTTTTCATTGTCTCGTGTAACAATACTGTGCAACAATACAGCGAAACAAATCATATTATTCTTCGGTTCAATAACGGTAACTGGAAATCTTTATTGCGAAAAGGACTCCAGCAGCCAGCCTGCATTCTTAAGTGTTTTCCACTACCCAGACGCACTTGGCGGAAAATTGATATAAACCTCTTGAGGGCGCCCGCTCCGTTTGCTCAGGTGACGGGGCTGACATATTTATCGTGTTTATGGTACGAAAAACGCCCTTAAATCGAACGCCATAAAGTCGACATTATTTCAAACGAATAATAAGTCATTCAGGAGAGGTATTTGCATTCAGTTGCTTATAGGCATTAGTAATTTAAACAAGAACAAGTAGTATTGGGAATAACGCCCCAGGTGTACCATGAGGGTATTGCCGAGCAATTTACATCCTATTTGACCGCCGCCAGAAGTTCCAATATTTCGCTTCATCTCAAAAAGAAAATCATTTGTTGATGAATATCAGACATTGCATTTATCGTTATAGACAAATTTTCTGTTGATTTTTTTACTAATTGGGTTGCCACTATTCAGTTGAAGTTCGTTTTATAATGACCCTCATCCTATCTACATATGAATTAATGTGTATATAATGTAAGATATACTAAAAAGATAAATGAAAGCGTTAATTTTTGTTTAGTACTTTTGTAAGCAGACATTTCATAACCCTGGCGTTTATTACATTCAAATCCGTCATTCCAAATATGTAGTTAGCTATATCGCAGTCATCGAAAAGTTTGCGTCTAACACTTTAACCCAGTACAATTTCGCTGTACACTATTTTTGGATTAACATTAATGCTTTATAAACCTTAGTCTGGTGTTAATAGCTTAAAATTAACATTTATATATTCAGTGGTCTACATATTGTAGCATATACATAGTATAAAATTGTAAACATAAAACTACTTAAGCATACAATTTCACTACAGCTCTTTGAATGGTTGGCATTTGGATGAAATAGAACTGTAGGGTGCTGTATCTAGAACCGGCGATGTTCACTTGTCTTAACTCATAAAAAGATTTCAGTGAATGAACGGAATGAACCTTATCCAATCATCGTTCTTTTGATTCAATACCGTTCGCTTTTCGTACAGTTCATTCGACTGAAAGTAATTCATGTAAAACTCGGGCCCAAGAACGCGGGAGCGTCGGAGTAACGAAGACAAATCAACGTCTCGATGACCTGACGGGCAGCACACGGATGGACACCCTTCCCGGGTACGAGACAGAAAGCCATTAAGCCGAGATAGTGGTATTTATCTTTTCCCACCCTCCCCGTACCGTGCAAGGTGACTAGACGCGGTGCATTAGAAGATAGATGGAGTGTAATTGTTTTTATTTGACTTGCCGTCGATTACATATTTATGTTTACTCTCACAGGAGATAGGCAGTTTTAAAAATACAACTCACCTATATGTTGTATTCACGGTTTTAACTTCACAATTTATATAAAAAATAACGCATTCTCTACTACATAATAAAATTGTTGAAGTTTCAGTTAAATATGACGATATTAATTTATTTTCAAACTAATTACTACACAGAGTAATGGCTAGCGAACGTAAACATAACCATATAACGGAAGGCATGTGTGTGTACTTTAGGTATACCATCAAATTGAGTTTCATTTAAATGCAAATGACCACTTCATTTCACCGCCCTGTTAATTTTCTATATGTATAAATAAACATTTCAACGTTAATACCAAGCTTGTATGGAAATGTTTTAGCCGATGAGTTTTAGGAAACGTTTAGCTTACGTTTCCTTTGTCTTTACGATAAAAATAACCGTTTAAAACAAAATTTCTGATTAAATGTAATCATTTATAGAAAAACGGACGAAAAGAGACGATGGCGGTTCTCCACCGCTGC